TATTTTCAAGTCGCATCCGTTTTTAAAGCTGGTAGCGCCGATATATACATAAATACAAATCAAAACAATATTGATTGAAACAAAATCACCAAAGAAAAATATAAGGCCATTCTCTTCTTTGTAATTACCGTACCAATATCAGCTTGAACTATAAAACAGGTGATACCTATACCCAGTGGCGGCTGTACCTTAAGTGCGCCCGTGCGCTGAACCACCAATTCAAAATATTTAAAAATTACAAAATATTATGTCATCTTAATTTTTAAATTACCATTTTAATATTTATTTTTTAAACATACAAAAAGGTATAAAAAATTTAATTTCCAATTATGGTCAAAAAGTTTGAGCGCTCTACTAAACTCATATCGTGCGCTCCGGTGAGTGCACGAGGACTGCTAATACATCTTGTATGAGACACGAATTAATACGCCTGACGCGTGAAACAAAAGATAGTTCATAGAAATGTACCGAGTAATGAGTCGGTTCTCGAGCGCCGCACGAAGCGGCCGAAGGTTACCGAGAGCACCCGATGTATGACGTATTGAGCCGGCCGGCAAGGGGCCGGCCGAAAGGATGGGTGCTATGATTGACATCTCGTTAATCGTTATTGGTATTGTTTCAACTTTCACTGTATGCGTTACGCGTTAATTCGTTATTGTTTATAATTATTTCCGTAATTCGTTTTAGTTTTTATTTCGTTTCTATAATAGAACTTTTATTCTGTACTGTGTTTTTTATTAGTTGAAAATGAGTATAAATATTGATTATGTTAAAGAAAATAACAAAATTTTTCAAAGTAAAGTGAACATAAAATTGGCCGGGCCGCCACGGCCCTTTTTAAATTTAAAACAAGAGTGTAAATCGAAAAATAAAGCATTTATACGAAGTTTTAAAAGTGAAATGTATAATAGAAAGAAATGGTTGTGTGGATGTGAGCGTCTTAATGCATTCTTTTGTTTTCCTTGCATTATTTTTTGGCGGAGAATCGATTTGGACAGAAACTGGAATCAAGGATTTGACGCATTTAAGTGAAAAAATAAAAAAACACGATTCTTCACAAGTACACCTACAAAATGTAATGAGTTTGTCTGTGTTAGGCACAGTCGATATTCGTCATCAGCTAGACTCTGTGTATAGAAGTAATATCCAAAAGTATAATAAACAAGTTGATAAAAACAGATACATTTTATCACGTCTTATCGATTGTGTCAAGTTTTGTGGTGCATTTGAGTTAGCTTTGCGAGGTCACGATGAAACTATTGAGTCCAGTAATGCTGGAGTGTTTCGTGGATTAATAGACTTTGTATCAGAGTTGGATATAGTTATGAATTAATGTACAAAAAATAAACATATTTTATGTCAATTGTTGTTTTTGTCAATATTTTAGTAAAGTGAACCACCAGTTCGATAACCCACCAGCCGCCACTGCCTATACCTACTATGTATGTATACCTAGTCTTGTCTAACTTTGTACTGACTTCAAAAATATAAAATAACTCAGTCCAGTTCAGTGGTTTAGGCGTTAAAACGTAGCAGATAGAGTTACTTTCATATTTTGAATATTAGTTGAGATTAGGAAAATAATTATTTTTCATTAACAAAATCAAAGTAACTGTTTCTTTGTTGGGACTTGGGGGTAAATATAAATTCGACTATTTATTTTCTTGTTTTATGCCCTTTCAGATACATTTCTATTGGATATAAGCGTATATTTAACTGAAGTATGTGCTCAAGATTAGTATAATTTTTACTGGCTCATTTGTTTTTTTTTTTAAATATCAACTCTTTATGTTACATTCTGTTTCTCATCGGGTAAGGATAAAAAACTGTTACTTTTAAAATTTATTTTTACACAACTTTATATCAAGCGTTGCTAAATCCATTCTGATAGTTATTTATTCTTTCTGCAAATAATAAAATAATATACAAAATAACTTACGAAATCTTTTTTTTAATTGTCCACTTCCCAATATCAAATGTATAAGTAAATATTAATATCTATTACTTATCTCCTAGTAATATAATTCCCACATCAGATACAATATTATTAGATGTTCTAACTCGCACATATGCTAATACGTATCTTTCAAATCAATCAGATAACATTGTTGGCCGAAATATTCTTTATGAACCAGCCAACCTGATCTTTAAGCAGATACAAAGATATCAGAAAACACATGAAGATGTAAGAAAAAGAGCATGTACAAAGAATAAAAATAACAAAAGTATTATTATTAAAACGTAGATATAACATAAAATATGTTTATAGAAAATACTTTTATTTTTTTTATAGAAGAAATAACATTCTATTTTCTCTGGCTACCGAGAATTTAATATTTATAGACTTAGAAACGAAGCTAGTCGTAACTAAGAACAAATACATCATCCATCTTAAAACCACTTTATATGTAAAGATATTGTTGAAAGATTATAAAAGTTTTCATATTTTTACATTGACGTAGTACATAAACTGCTAATTAATAATACATGTTATGGATAATACATAAAAGTGAATATATGATCAAATAGAATAATTAAAAAGGTAGCAAAAAAAAAACAAAAAAATAAAGAACTGCCCAATTGCGGGTATTACTTATGCACAAAGCTTCTATAACTTTTTATTTAAAAAGTAATAATTGTTTAATGGAAGCCCTTTAATATAATATAATTTCGTAACATTTTTGTCACAGTAGCAACAGAAATACATCTGTAAAAAGTTGTTATTGTCTAACTATCACTCTTCATGAGATACTCTGTAACAGACAAACAAACAAACATACATACTGACAGCTAAGTCTTGCTTTTAAGATCCAATTGTAACCATTTATCTTTGAACTCTAAGAAGCAACAGCGATCACGACCCCTGATTTAAATTGAAATTTATGACAATTGAAACGCGTATTTTATCGTTCGTTTTATAGACCTTTAACAACATTATTTTTTACCAACCAATCCTAATTGTTAAAAGATACTTATCATTAAAAAATAATTCTCCCTATAACTGAATCTCATTGCTATATATTATAAATAAATAAAGTTCTTATTTTTCGTGCAAATAGAGTTCAAAATAACTCATTTTGAATTTTATCTATATATTAGTAGATAAGAGAGAATGGTAAATAAGGTCTTGTTTAACATTACGTAAGCTACAAAGTTATATAAGTATTGAGATGATTTTGAAAAATACCTGTTTTGTAATTCATGAGGGATTTTTGTATTAGTAAGAGAGCTTTTGAGTCAATAGAATTATTGGAAAATTATTATTCAGAGACCGTCTGAATTACATTTACCTAGTAAAGATATTGACTTATTAAAATACGAAGATACTAACAGAAAATATATACCAAATTTATTGATATTTAACTAGAAATAATTACGCGAAATAAGTGCAAATAATATGCAATGTTTTCACTCATATTACTCAAAATTTAAGATCTTACTTAACAAAATCCGTTAAGACGTGAAACCATCGATCTCTGTCAAGAAAAATCTCTAAAAAAAAAGATAACACTCCCAGTCATAAAAAATGTTCAGCTTACTCAATTTTTAGCTGACATCTCAAAGTTTTGGAGACGTCTTATAAAAGATTAAAAAAATAAGTAATTAAGTACGCAAAGAAGGTTTAAATGTATTTCAAGATAGGTATATTTATATAATGAATTGTCACAATTCATATCACAACCGCTAACCCGTAAGGCCTCGGCCTCGAATCTCGCGGGTAGCGGGGCGGCAGCGGCGGCGGCACGAAAACGCATACATTTCTCCGTGCCCGTTGCCCGCTAGTTTGGAGAATAGTATGCGTTTCCGTGCCGCCGCCGCTGCCGCCCCGCTACCCGCGAGATTCGAGGCCGAGGCCTAAGGGATATTATAATATCCGCCGTAAACGTCTTTACAGCCGATAAAACACGTTTCCTCAGCCATTGTATAAAAATGTACAAATTTAAATGTGTTTATCACAAATTATTGAAGTAATAATTTAATTTAATTTTAAATAATACCTAACAGTTGAGAGACTTCCAATTTAGTCATTTGATTTAAAATAAACTCCAAACTATTCTTAATTAAAATTTCTTCAAAACTATTTCTAGATTCTAAATTTTCAAACCTAAAATGAATTTTATACGAATTGGTATTTATCTAATTGGTAAAAGTAATCAATTATTTTAATAAAGAGAATAGATCTTCCAATACATTGCATATTCTTGAAAAATGTATTCATGTTAATCCTTTTCCACCCGATGTAGTCAATGTCTCTCACAACCTTTAATTTTATCATTAAAATAATATTCACATACTTAAATAGAGGAAAATCTAAAACCTCATTTTACATATTTAAAATTGTTAAAGTACTACTAAAAATATATAAACAATTTGTCAGGTGTTAAAATCACTTCTTTAAAAGAGGCAGTTGTAGAGAATACAAATTCGACGCCTTTAGTCTTTACTTGTATGTATATGTATTTCAAAATCCGTGAATCGTTTCATTAAAAAAGGTCACTAGAGGGCTCTAGCTGGATTATTATTGAATCGAATCTGTAATTCCTAACTTTTTAGTAAACATATAAAATCACATTTACAAAAACAAATTTTATATATAACATTCAAATAGAATATTAAAATCATAAATTTAAAATAATAAAAAATATATTCATTCTATAGTTGTTCCCAAGAATGTTTTAGTTATCTGTGACGTGTTGTCTATAACTAAATCACATGACCACTTTATTTTGTCCCCGTGATCAAGTTTAGAAAATTCAAAAATAATTACACGCAATGGCTAAAGTAGTAGTACTTGACGTCGATGAAAATTCTCTTGATAACAGGTAAAGGTGATCAGTGTTTCCTATTGGTCTGATGTAGTAAATTGTATTACATAATTATTTAATTCTTGAGTACCAAGGAAGGTCAAGTCACATATCAAATTGGCAATTGTTCTTTATTTTGATAGTGCATTATATCAAATAATAATGATTTTATATACAACATGTAACAATTTTCAGTGCGGACAGCGAATTACTAGGAATGGTAGATGAAGGATCTCTGGGTGAGTGGTAATAATTTGTAAAACACGATCCAACTTGAAACATTTGTTTACCAATAGAAAAACATCAGAGCAATTCTAATATGTTATAATTTATTGCTGGCTTTATTGAATTAACAACGAAACAGCTAGATGTTAAATTTAATTATAATTAATTTCAGGAAGTGCAGATTGTGAGAGATCGCAATTAGTGTCGCAATCGTTTCTCGATAATAACGAAGAAAATAGTACGTCCTACAATTTTAAAGATCTGTGTAAGTTTAATTTGAATAAAACCTATTTATTTGTTTCTTAAATGTAGTATATAGAAACTAGTTCATTAACTCAGTTACCCTTAAATAATTCTATTAGCCTAGCAAATAATGTAATTAAAAAATTAACCAGTATCAGACATCAGAAGTTTGTTTACTTTTATCAAACAATATTTTTTATGTATCTTAATGTAATGTTAAGCAACTAAAATTCTGCATTATATATTATATTATACAGATTCAATTTTTTTTTTTCACATTATAGCACCAACTTAAAGAGAATACTTAATTTCTATGAATGTCACAATTGTATGAGTCGCTTGTGTATGTTGTGTCAATGAATAACATGTATATTTCAGCTGGCACAGTGGCATACAAACTTATACCGATGACAGGGAATCAAACTCCTAACAACATGGCTACAGAGTCTATTACATCTGGTGGTAAGTATTTTACTTAAAGCTAATAATTTTCTCATCTCATCTTTCCATAGTTACAGTTAGTAAAAAGTAATGGAAACATTTGTTTTATTAACTTATTCGATTTAGACATGCTCTAAGTTGCATTGAATCTGGAATCTAATATTTAGATGGTTGTGCTTTCCAAGTCCACGCATGTTGATGAATTACTGATATTTGAATCATTACACATTGAAAATTGTTTTAATGATTAAAGTATAGTTATATGTATTTGATTAAAACTTAAATTAAAATATGATTGACCAATAATATTTTGTTTGTTTTTTGTTTGTTTCTCATCCTTAGATACTATAATTTTTATTTTATTGTTTTTAACTTAAATAAATTATCCTATAGAATGAGGTTTAAAAAATATATATATTTATAGTCACACAATTTTTTTTATATACAATACAACTATTGTTAAAGTATTCCTTATTCAATCTCAAATATAAACAATGTTTATTTACAGTCCTACCGAGTGGTGAATTTTATGTGATTGGTAATCCTGTACAAGTTTTTGGAACGGAAGCCGGACAGAAAAAAGTTGTTAGAAGGAAGAGTGCTTTGCAGAATAAAGTTATCACCGCTAAGAAGGTAACAAAATACCATAGTATTTACCTTCTAACATCTAAAAATTATATATAAAGACAATCAAAAATATCAAAAAATGATTATATCATATAATAGTGTTGATAAGATTTCATTTACTTACAATAATATAAGTATTACGGTCATGAAGTATGATTATCATAGAGAATACAATAAAATATCTAATTTCTACAAAATACAAATATGCATAGGGGTTGTCCATTAATCACGTGATCTTTTTTTAGCATTTTTTAGCCCCCCCGCCCCCATTGGTGATACGTAGTGAGGTTTAAGACCACCCCCCCTCCCCCTTCTCAACATCACGTGTATTTTTAGTACCGACAACGAATCTTAAAATTTTCTGAATATTATCTTAATTTAAATACAGGTATAAACTATAATCTTATTTTATTCTGAAATTAAGGACCATAATAAATTAATATTTGTTTAAAAATCGCGCGTTAGACGAAAAAATAAATACACGAGATATCTTACTACACCCCCCCCTCCCCCTTGTGTTATTTTCGAGATTTTTATCAAACCCCTCCCCTATCTTCCAAGCCTCACGTGATTAATGGACAGCCCCATATGAGAGATTTGAACAAAACCATGTTTAAAAATATGTATAAAGTGGACCCTCAGTAATCTGGCACCCCTGTTATCTGACATGATCTATTATTTATTATTGAATACATATTTTGTATTCGCTAATGCATGATTGAACAAGTTACAACTTGTACGCACCATCACTATTGTGCTTGACGCGTAGGGTATTGTTTTGATTCTGATTGCATAGTTGGAATTTTGAATTTGTACTTTAGAGTACATATAAGTACATATGTATATATAATATGTAAATAATCTTATCATTGAAACTGTAATTTGTCAGATTACAAGGAACTCTTTTGTAAAAAAATCCAGACTATAGGGGGTCTTAGGCAGTACTCTATAATCCGACAAATTCGATAGTTCGACACTGCCCTGCAAAATGTTTGTCGGACTACCGGGGGTCCACTGTATATGTATATATGATTATGTTTAATAAGTTAATTAAGATTTAGACTTATTATTTATAATAAAATGTAGACAATAGATTAATAACTATATTGTATACAATGATATTTCATTATATTGTTATAATACATACATAGAAAACCCATATACGCTTCCCAAATCACTAATACATACTAATATCCATTCTACATTTGAAATTAATTCAATCCTATATCAATTTCAGCGTGACGATAAACGACGCGCTACTCACAACGAGGTTGAAAGGCGTCGTCGTGATAAAATTAACAGTTGGATCACAAAATTAGCTGCATTGGTGCCAAACTCAGGTCTACAAGATACAGCTAGTAAGGGAGGGATATTGGCGAAGGCGTGCGACCACATCACTGAACTCACAGAAAGACAGAAAAAGTATTAAAAATTACACATATAAAGTTTATATAGACAATTAACCTAATTCAATGACTATTTTTGGCTGTTAAAACAAATATTTGTTAGATATTCTTAATTTAAAGTGGTAACAAAAGTTTGGGCAACATTACTATTACTTTACTATCAATAGTTTTTTGCTGTACAGTCAATCTGGGTAACTTTGATTCATCACTTAACTTTGACAGTGGGACCATGAATTAGTTGCGATTATTTTTTCGCATGAAACCAACACTATTCATGTGTGTTTATTTTAGATTTGCGATTTTAAACAAACTTCATAAACGCACTCTAAAAAAAGTAAGTTGTGAAAGTAAAAAAACGTCAAAACTTTTTTCTGAATATATTCGCTATAGCGCGCGAATATAAGTTTACTTTAGGGTGAATAACTTTTTGAATATTTTGTGATTTTGGTTGTTGGTAAGGTAAGTGAGATCTTATACAGAGCCATTTGTGATTGTAGTACTACCGCATTTTCCTGAAAAATTTACATGTAATTACGTCTTATTATGAAATCTCATGCATAAATATGAAGATACGTATTTTGAACAGTAACTGGAATGCTGAAGGAAGAGGTGATTAAAGAATTAGTTGTTAAAGATAGAGTTTTGCAACATGCACTTCAAAATATTTTGAGTTCTCACCTGGAACAACAATTATATTTAAACAGAAGGCACACTGTTTCCAGGAAAAGTGACAAGTTTCACATTCCCGTATTATACACTTGTTGTCATGAGTAGAGCAACACAAGGTGGTTGGAGATGACCAGATAAAAGAGAAATTATTAAAATTAGATAAGATGATGTTGTATCTCCAGTAGATAACAGTAAAATCAGTATTAAACAGCCTGGGCTCTACACAATTAATGACGATTTGCTCTATATAAATGGATTTGCTCTATATAAATGGAGGGGGTGAATAGACAAGTTATGCTCAAGATTTTACAAAATGTTTATTTGTTTTAATTATTTTTTCTTGTTTTCTTTTTAATTTGAATAAAAATATTTAATTAAAGGAGTTTTTAAGCGTTCTGATGGTGCTAAAAAATGTGTGTAACATTGCCATATGTTGTAGACTGATTCTTCATGTATTTTTTTTAATATGAGACAAAGTGCAAAATGGTAGTTCTATTGCGTCACATGCATCCATTAGTTAATAAATATATACACCAATGTTACCCAGATTGAGAAAAATAATACTTATTACTACTTTTTTATTCATGGCTCTGTGTGTGTGTCATAGTAACCCATATTATGAGGTTAACTTTGACACACAGAATTGAGATTTTATTCTATACTGGCATGTTTTGTAAACTTTCTGTGAATGTCTAGACACGGAAAGTAATACGAGAGCCCTGCTAAAATAAAAAACACTCGAGTGATAGGTTTATTTTTTTAAATTTTAAATATAGTATAAAATATCACCCTTATGTGTCAAAGTTACCCAGATTGACTGTATCAATATTACAATATATTTTACAGATTAGAAAAACTAGAAGTTGATAACGACAAACTAGTGTTAGAAGTCTTAAGATTGAACCAGGAGCTTGCTGATTTGAGAAAGGAAAATGCTTCAATGAGAAGTCAATTGGCTGATAACTGTATAGTTTCAATGCAGAACAGACGAGCTCGAGGACAGAAATCTTAGTTGGAAATATTTTATTATTTATATATAAACTGTTGGACAATGGTCCGTCAAAGGTGCTGAGTATGTAACAGAAGATAAGTGTTGTTATTGTGACTCGTCAACATCTATTAATTATAATAACGGTAAGTTTTATAGCAATTTTGAATATTAATTCAACTATTGTGAACATAAAAACAAGTTTATATGTGACTTCATATAAAAAGATAGATTAAATTCAAATTTAGATCACAGATACATCAAATAGGATGTAAAGTTATCTGTTTTGTTTGTAAATAATTTGTTAATATAACATTCTTTTTTTTTTTGTTATTTATTTGTAAAAATAAATAACAGTATGTAGGTTGTTTATGGTATGAATAGAAGCACATTTGTTGAACGACCACCTTTCAAATTTATTATCTATGATAATTTGTTGTATGTAAATTTGTTTTATGAATATTTATCATAGTGATAAAATTAGTATTACATATATATAAAAATCTTGGATCGTAAAAATTAAGTATTGTTTTTGAGATTAGTTCACCATTTCTACATAAAAAAATTATCTTTAATAAGAGATTGTAATAGTTGAGAAAGAATTGTATCAAAGAATTTAAACATAAGTCACTGGAATATTTTGTTGTAATGTTGTTTAAGTTATATTGAACGAATTGTTAAAGATATTAATTACTTGATTCGAGACAGTTTGAAAATGTCCTATTTTGTGTTACAACAAAATTAATGAGTAGTTCTCACGCAGGTGTGAATTTTTTAAATTATTTTTAATAACCAAATTGTTTTTCTGTTAAAATTTGCAATAAAACCTATTGTTTTTTTAGTTGTAACGAAAAAAATTACTGAAAAATATGGTCCACAAAAGTAATATCGAAATGCTTATATATAAGCAATGTTTTCTTTATTTCTTGTGATACGTTTTAGGTTTTTGTTATCTATTAGTGAATAACATCATTACGATTGAGTTTATTTCATTATAATATTTTAGGTTTTATTTATTATGGTAAATACTTTTATATACGAGATGATAATTTATTTTTAAATATCTTCCATGATGGTGTCCAAAAATAAAGACGCTATTTTAATCCAATGTAAGAATTTTGTACAGAGCAATAAAATATTGAAATTTATTTTCATGTTTTCTTTGACCTTTAGTATTCTTGTCTGAGTTTATTAGTGATAGAAGCACTGGTGTCACTTAAGTTAAAACACTAATTTAGTAATGAGATTAATAGCTTTAGATGCGGTATCTCCATGTAAAAAAAAATACGATAATCAAGCGTTTTAGTTTACCACTTTTGTAAGCGCTTAAATTGCTTTTACATAAAAACATAACATAAGTAATGGTTTGTTAGACACATGGAATTATTACTTTATCGATGGCTCCTGTGTATAAGGGCCAATGTGCAAAATGACAATTTTTCAGTAGACTCGTTTTAAGTTTGATTTCAATATCTTTTCCATGCAACTATGTTACATGTACGGCATTTAAGCTTGATAAAAAAGTTTTTTTGTAAACCTACTAGTTTTTTGAATAATGTTTATAAATAAGTCCTTACACGTAAAAGTGTCCCTGCTACTGAAATAAAAACTAAGTATTTCCACCAACAAAACGATTTTTTAAAATAGATGTTGTAATACACTATTATGGAGTATTTAAAAGAAAAAAAAAAGAAAAATGGCTAAACTGCTACATTGGCCCTTATACACAAGGCCCATCGATATAGTACAGTCCTTTTTGTATTTGCAAACCTATTGGTTGATATTTCAAGACCAAGGATCTTCTATATTTCAAAGAAAAAATCATTGTAGTTGATACATTTTTATGACATTTAGTGGTTGTACGCTTGGGGTCAAAACTTAATTAAATTTTAATTCAAACCCAAATTTATAATAATTGACTATAAATTAAACAAAAAAGGAACAAAAACCGAATATTTAGAGGCATATTGATAATATGAAATATAACCTTAAGTACAAAAATGTTATTTTCAAAAGCTATTTAAATATGACAGATTATTATAATTAAAATTTTGAATATAGACTTCTACTTTATAAAGTATATTTTTGAGGTAAAATAAAACAATTTTTCATCAGGTAACATTTTCTGTTAATACAACATCACTTGCAATATCGCTCTTTGCTAACAACATTTGAATTTTCAAGCAAGACTTCGCATTTTCCTTGTGGTGTTTAAGATCGTACGCGTTCATGAATGTTGACTTGCAAAAATTACATGGATAGGGCCTTTCGTCTGGAAGAAATAATATATTATTATATATATGGTTTTTCTCTCTCATTTTTATAGCAAATTTATAAACAAAGCGCGGGAAATACTTGTATGGAAGATAACAAATCATTATTACATAACAGAATTCGCCATATAATTATTCGTAATTGGATTCTTATAAATGACAATTCAATTGGAATAATGAAAATGTTAATGTATATTTTCTTAGCTTAAAATTACTTAGCATCTGTTATTTATTGTTATTTAGGCTTTGTATTACCTATTTAATTTTTACAAAATATGTAATAATCTATAGAATAAATGTAAAGTACATAATAACGTACCAGTGTGTCTCTTAATATGTCTGTTGAGAGCGTCGTGTCTTGCGAAACTTTTAGAGCAATACGAACATTGGAATGGACGCTCGCCCGTGTGACGTCTGTGAAAAAATATGTTTTTGAAACTATAATCTAGATTATATAGATATAACAATAAAAAACAGATTTATAAAAAGTTTCAATAATTTCCACAGAGAAAGTTGAAGTTACATAAAATATATATCTATATATATATTTTTATTAAATTTACAGTAAAGTTTAGGTACATGAATAACATCTAAAAGTATGAAAACAATATTAATTATCTAAAATACACTTTTCGGAACATGTAGTCACAACATTAAATATAAACCTTCTTTACATAGATTAGATGAAATAACAATAAATATAGGAAATATATCATATAGTCTTTTTTAACAAAACATTATCACCCATGAACTCTTTATTGTACAACCTCTGAATAAAACAAAGATAAAAATAAAATTCTGTCTTTCTCAATAACCTTTAAAGAAATACCTACTATTATATTACCTCATATGTGCATTCATATCACATTTCCTATAAAAACCCTGTCCACACTCCTCACAGGTATGCATGTATATATTGAAATGTCTCTTTATATGAATGTTGTAGTTTGATGAACTTGTACACGCCCAGCCGCATATTGAACACACATGCTTCTGAAATAAAACAAAAAATATATATAAATAAGTATACATAACACACATTTAATATTTGCCTCGAATTCATCTATATAATGTAGCTATGTAAGTATTTAAACTTCAAATATAATATCAACTAGCATTTTGTCTTTGATAATTAATATTTGTTTTTTATATATATTTACAACATGAAATTTAACAATCTAAGTACATTGTTTGATAAGACATCAAAAAACAAATTTACTTTAAGACTAATATTATTTACTGAGAAATTTGCCATACCACTTGGGCTATATAATATGAAGACATTGTTAGAAGAGTGATTATAAACTTAGGTAAAGAATATATTAATTAATTTAGTTATTAAAAGTTCATATAATTTTTCTGGAAACATTAGCAAGTACATAATTTAATAATAATATTTAAAATAAAAGCTTTTCAAGGCTCAATCCAAAGAGAGGGGTTTTATAAGGATGACATTGAGATTTATGTTTGTGTATGTATCTGTTTGTGACATTGTTGCTCTAATATTAAAAGTATTTTACTTATAATTTTTCTGGAAACATAAGCACCTACATAATTTAAAAATATTATTTAAAATAGAAGTATTTTTTTCATTCTTAAGGTATAATGCAAAGAGAGAGGTTTTATAAATTTGAAGATAAATTAGATGTTGGGGTGCTTATCTGTTTGTGGCATTGTCTCTCTCATATGAATTAACCGATTTTATGTAATGTTTTTAGTTTTGGAAGCCAGTGTAATAAAAATGGTTCTTAGCTATTATTAGTTATAATCCTTTCCAGTACTAAAAGATCTTTTTCCAATATAATGTAAGACATTTTTGGCATAGCTTACTTTCTTAAGTACCACACAGCACACTGATGCTAATGTAATTTTTTAATGACTTCCCACAGAGTTAAAATGTTAATCTATCTTAATCAGTAATTACCCCTCACATATAAAAAAAATATTTAGCACATAATTTAATGCATACCTTTATAACATTATTGTTGTTAGCTTTATGGTCGTGAGTGCTTTGATGAAGTCTCAACTTTGACTTTGTATCAAACTTCAATGAACATCGCTTACATTCATATAACACAGGATTCTGGAAAATTACAAAAAAAACTTATTATACTAATATGTCCACTTTTTGCAATTAATTTAAATTATATACATACCTTATGGTTTTCAATATGTTTAATTATACATCTCGGTGAATTAAATATTTTCCCACAATAATCACAAATCATTTTTCTTCTTATCCTGGCAACATTATCTTTCGGTATCTTAAGCTTGTGATATTTAGCGCAGTGGACTTTCAAAGCGACTAAATTCTTAAATTTCCTATCACACATCTTACAATAAAAGTTTGTTATACAATATTCATTTTTAGCAGATGGTATGTCTTCTAATTTTTTTCTATTTATTTCAGGTTTAGTTAAATATCTCTCTATTTCGGTTATATCGTTATAACTATCTTCTGTATTTTTATCATTTAATATATTTGTGTTTAAAAATTCATCTATAACTTCGATATTTTCTTTTATTTCTGTTGTTTTTGTTAATGGTTCTTCATTATGTGATGTTTCTTTCATATCTCCGAATAGAATATTCTTTATAAGTGGAGTTGCCGGTGATGTCACATTCGGTAAAACTGTAATAAATTTATAAAAACTAATTATATTAAAATATTTATATGTTACAATACAATAAAATATTCATATGAAGGTAACTAATCGTCATCGTCGTCATCAGCCTATCAGAAGCTCATTGCTGAGCAAAGGCCTCTTGCTCACATGGAGAAGGTTTGAGCATTAATCACCACGCTTGCTCCAGACTGGTTGGTGATTTCAAACTTATAATTGTGAAACTATAAGTCTAGGTTTCCTCACGATGTTTTCCTTCACCGTATGTCAGTGGTGTCTAAATACTCTCAGAAAGTACAATTATGACTCCGAAAACTCACATTGGTACTTGCCAGGTTTGAATCCGCGCCCTCGGCAACGAGAGGCGGGTCCTTTAACCACTAGGCCACCACTGAATAATAACTAGGGCCCGGATTAATATGAAAATACATATTTTTAATTTACGGGATTTTCGGTCTAGAATGTGTTTTTTACATGGATTGTCATATTTAGACTGTGAAAAACCAACTTTTATTTTCCATATTTTACCATATTTCAAAGTTAAGTCCATATTTTACAAGAAAATGTCACAATCATTTATATATTCACAAAATACATAAAATTTAAGCTCCCGCCACTAATGTTTTGGATAAAAATAAAGGATTTAAAACGCTAAAAAAATTAACAAAATTGTGTGCGAAAGTTTCGAGGGCTGTAGACATGGCTCACACAATTACTGAATTAAGCATGTTTAAGTATGCATCGATCACGTCATGTGACGTGGAGACATCATTCAGCAAATATTAGGCTATATGTCGACCAAATGGTCAGTTTTCATTTTGATAATTTAAAGAAGGACGTCATTGTGTATTGCAACCAATTTGATAAGGCTAGTGTAATGGAAGTTGGATAGAACTGTTATTTTTTGTTGAAATAAATATTTCACTACTTTTTTTCATCGTTTTTTAAATGTTTCTTAACGATGTACGTCACGAGTGACCCTTTCTTATAGTAAAACAATGTTTAATTATGAAATAATTTAATTTTATACTCCATATTTTTGATTTTTAATACATATTTATCCGGGCCCTACTAATAACTAATATTAACTAGGTAACTAATATTTTAATCAAATTAATGACATTATTAATAAATTATAATGTAAATTCTGATATGAACAAATAAATATAAATTTAAAACTATAATACCCTTACCTGGAGGTGTAGCTAGTAAATCGTCTAACATAACTTTCTCTGCTGTGTTTTTCAAAGCATTTTCTATATTAATATCTATCACACACACATTATTCCCAGCTTCACAATTAATTCTTTTATCCAATGATTCCAGATCAATGTCCATACTCTTAGTTATAATATTATCTAAGCTACATTCGTGCGTCTTATTTATTTTGATTTCTTCATGATTATTCAAATTCTTTGGAGACGAAATGCTATCATCTTTATCATTCTGAAATGTCCTCGGTGTTGAAAATGGGCTGAAACTAAAAATAAACATACATTATAATTTTTAATAAAACAAAATATTTAGAATATATAAAGATATCGTAAATTAAATACATTTAAATATGAGTTAAAAGGACTATCTAATGTACACATACAAGGTAATATTACTGAGTTCTTATATTGGACTTATTATATATCTAAACTTCGTTTTATTTAATAAAATTCTATCACTCATACATTTAATGCTCAGTACTCTAAAGAAATAATAAACATTAAACCTAGAATCCATTCTAAACTCATCATCATACGGCCATTTCGATGTCACTAATATTTTTCGTATTACGCCACTTTATTTTTTGTAAAAAAAACTACATACTCCTGTCGCTTCGGCTACTTTTTTTACTAGTTGTTGCTGTTAGTAGTAGAATGTAGTTTTTTACAAAAATAAAGTCGAATAGTATAATACGAAAAATATTAGTTTCATTAAAATGAATAAAACTCGCGAAAATCTTAGATCTCACCGTGCAGGCATATTTAGTTTTATTTTTTAAAGTTCATTCATACCTTCAATATCTATCAAATCAAAAATATAACAAATCTAAAATCCATTCTATTTCTTTCAAACCAAAAAAATAAAGCCAAATATCGATTCTAAACTAGTCATAACACAGCCATATTCATCAACATATATTAATACACATGCCATACGCATATAATCTGCAGTAATTTTTTGGTTTGAAAAGAGTGAAAGAGATGGCCTATGCTTTCGGTGTAGCACTATCTCTTTCCTCATAGATGATTCTTGTATATTCGAGTAATGAGTTAAATTTGAGAGAGATAAAGATAGACCGAAACTTCGTTTCCTCTCATTCTTTCGGAGTGCCACAATTCTCATCTCTAAGGCATGTCCATTAGTATGTCAATGGCCATATTTATGTTTTTTTTTAAGTTCATTCATTCATTGAATATGTACCTACTGAATCAAAAACATAACAAACCTGAAATCCATTCTGAGCTCATTATCTGACAGGTCTTGTAGCCAGTGTGAGTCGAGCGAGTCTTCAAGTATATCAGCCTCTTCTTCAATAACCTGTTTGATTATATTAGCTTCGGAGTCCGGCAGCTCTTGAAGGATGTCCGTCATGAAGTTCTGGATGCTCGTACATGTTGATTCTTAAAGAAATATATAAAAAAAATATTTAATGATAGATAAATATGTGCCAAAGAACATAGTTGTATATTTTATTATATATTACTCATAAGAACAATAATAAGATAAGTTAATATTCAATTACTAACAAGCTCAAACCAATAGACTAAGACACCGGAAAGTAAAAAAAATTTAATTAAGTAAAAGTGGACATATTATTAGTTCACACAGTTCAAATCATTGATTAACTATTCCATAAACTCAATTATATTTAATACATAAGAAAAATATAACAACTGTCACTTACTTTAATAAATAAAAATTTTGAGTAAGTACACTTGTATTCAACTTTGTTAAAAATATATAATTTTTTAATTATATAACTTTTTGGTATCTTTAATACCTATCTATAATCAGGAGGCTAATTTAAACTTTAAGACAAAGTTACATGAGATGTTAAACTAGAAAATATATGTATAATAAATTAAAAATAATAAAAATATAAACTTATTATTTTACTTTATGATCACCAATTGCAAATTAGCAAAAACATATTGTAATTTATTTCATGATGAAATCTGTTTTTAGTACATACATGTATCTGTAATGTATATTTAATTTAAGAAAATATATCCTTTATTATTTATCAATAAACACTGATTTTCATTGATATGTATTTGTTACTTTTTTGAATAGACATATAATAATATTACATGTACTACATATGCACAAACCGGCTTTCTTCATAAATTTGGTTATTCAGATTTTCGATTATCCGAATGCCTATCAACAATCATTAGTTCGGTTAATCGAGTTTCTACTTAACATGATATTAAGCTTTTTCATTTTCATCTACCATAAGGCAGATTTTCAATTGGTCACTATCTTAAAAAAGACTTTAAAATAAATGTTCAATTTACCATTATCGTCATCCCTTCTGTTTGGTGATGGACTGTTTCCCAAATTTAATGGTAGCCTGGAAATATTAAAAATACAAAAAAAATTAACTTCACATCAACACACAATATAACATTATAGAATTGAACAGATGTAGCAATTACCGTAATTTTATTGAATCTTCATTGTGTTTAAGAAAATCATAAATATCTATATACTCTCCACTTTCTTTGGCAGTTGAGTACTTTTTAATATTTTTATCAGAATTTCTACAAGTCTTCTTAAAATTGCAAGCCACCTTCATGTTGATATAACACTCCTTGCACAGTTGAAATGCAAAGGAATCATTTCTTTTTACCTGAATTGAAAATAAATATATGTTAGAAATAAAATTAAAGAAATTACTTAGTGTTCGTTTTGTGGTAATTTAAGAATAATAATGCCTTGAAAACGTGACTTATACAACTGGATTTATACACTGATGTTAATAATATAATGGGAAAATTACAGAAATAAATTAATAAAGAATTTTTAAACCAACCTGCAATCCTGTACAATATACAAACAATCGCCTATTTTTCTCGGAATATTGTAAGAGATCCGTTTGTTCATGTTTGGATAAACAAGCTCTGCAAATGCCTTCCATCCTTAGCTGCCAATAACAGTATTACGAAAAAATTACATTCATAACTTGAAAAGAACTTGGTAGTTTAGTTTTTAAACTGTTCTGTTTTCAATTTAATGAAGTTTGAATAGTCAATAGACTATAAAAGAGCGTGACAGGTCTCAAGAATACAGACTAAATATTGAAAAATGAAATACCAAAGTATACTTATTTTTACACGATGGCCTCCTTCACACTGGAAATATCGTAAATTTCTCAATGTCCACATTTTTATTTGTTGGAAAAATTACATACTTAATACTTGGTAGCTAATTACATATTAAATATATAAAAGCAATACAAAAACCATTTTTAAATATTTCCTTTCAAGCTTCAATTTTTTTTCGTTCTTTCTAACCTGATAACACTATTATGGCCAAAATATTTTTTTTTACCGCCCAATAAATTATTAAAAGTGTGATTTTATTTTTCAAATTCTTTTAATCTTCAAAAATTATAAGTATCTATCTACGAATATATTGAAATAGATGGTTTTTATAGTATAATACACATTGACTTTAATCAGTTGGATCTTTATTTGGAGGCCTCATCTCTGATCTCATTTGCTCTGGCAAAAACGTGCAGAATGCATATTATTCTTCTCTTCTAATGTCGCATAGATTACAGGAGACATGTCTTTTGTTAAAACTTTATTAATTATAAGTCATCTTTGACTAAAATGGTCATAAAAAATTTGTTAATTAAATAAATAAGATCTTAAACAGCACAGATACTATTGAAATATCAATGCTGTTGATTTTTTGAAATGTTGACAACTGACAACTTGATTGTCATAATATTTCATATGAGAAAACAATGACTGCTTATGACTCATGTTTTTATTTTTATTTTTGTAAATATACCAAAAAGTTATAGAAAAACGGATTAAGCAAAATGGAATCGAATAAAGAGCGGAATAATTCTCAAGTTGAGGTTAATTTGAGTCGACCGATAAAAGTAATTCATTTTAGTGATGGGATCGAGGAAATAATGGAAGAAAACCAAGTTACAGAATTAGATAGCGCTCCTAAGGACAATGAAGTCATAGATCCAGTGAGTTAAAGATATTATTAAAATGTTATTTGATTATTTCTTGTTTATTTTTTAATTTTTATTGACTATTCCTGTATTTTAACCACCTAAACACATCCCAGAGGATCTTCCATTGAGAGTGCTTTACATTAATATCAAATTTTGACATCCTTAAATATTTTTTCTTACATATTTTATGAAAAATTATAGATATGGATACAAAAATTAATTCACTTGAGCAATTAAACAATTTATATCCTGTATATTTGGAAGCAACTCTATCTGTGATTCTGGTGACTGTAACAGATTTAAGACATTTTATAAAGTGCAGTATAATACAATTTCTCAAAATTTTATATGAAAAACATAATTTTCAATATATATAATATTTAATTTCAAGTAAATAAGTTGTAATCAAGTTTTTATTTCTTACAGAAAACATTATCTTGGGGACCTTGGATCTCATATCAGACACGAAAATCTGGTTCTAAAGTTCTCGGAGCATTGGATTATGCCGGAGAGTCATTGGCAAACTTCTTAGGTATAACAACACCGAAATACATAATAGAGATCGAGGAATATGAGAGAATGCAAATGGAAAAGAAGAAAATTGAAGATGAATCGGCCGGCTGGGTCCCGAAGAGTGTGGATATACCTCTAGTATTAAACGAACCAATGAAAACAGACAAAGAGGAAAATGTTTAATTTATGCTTTAAAATAATAATATATTGTATGATTTAAAGATTAAAATCATGACTAACATATCTTATTAATATTACACATTGTATACTTGGATTGAATTTAATTTTATACACATTTGTATAGGAATGACAAAATAATGTTTTTATTTAACAGAGTTGTATTTTTTTCCACAGTATTTTGTATATATTTAGAATATATAATATATTGTATAATTGGATGGGTATTGTGATTAATATGCATGTCTGTCTGTGAATTGACTTAGGTTTATTGAATAATATAATATTTATTAATCAAACAATGATGTTTTTATTAAGTTCTCACTTTTGTTGTTATGATTGAAGTCAATATCATCATCATCATCATAATTTACATCAATTAATTAAAATATATCAAAGCCTTTTGTTTTGAGGTAGTATGTGTTGTCATTTAATTATACTTTAAGACAATATTAGTTTTGATTTTTTTCTTCACCACAAATTACTTATAAATTATGCAGTTAAAGTTTTTGAATCCCACAATTGAAAAAACTTGGTAAATTTTGTTGAGGTAACGAAAAGTATCTGAATGTTAGTACACTTCATTTAAAATCATACAAGTATGGGAACACATAAATTTTATTTATAATGGTTTATAATTAAAATTAAATTTATTTTCACTTCAACGTTGAACTAAATTTCAAGTGGTAAGCGATTCTTAAAAATAAACGGTATATTTTTATAAATAAAGCCATCTAGCGGCACTTAAAAATATATGAAGCGCCACCTATGGGAGAGGATTGCCATCTCTATACTAATACTATCTCCCAAAAACAAAATCATTGAGTTACGCATCTAATTCATATTAAATGCACCTATTATACCTATTGGTTGCAACGATAACAGTAAACGACTTATTACAAAATGTTACTGTATAACAGATTTAAAAATAAAATTAATATGTTTTGTGTTTCCAAAAGTAGAATAAAATATTAATTATATTGGGAAAAAGTTTTTTAATACTTATTAAGAATAATAAAGTTTTCACTTATTTAAGAATTATAATTAAATTAAAAGTTATAATTATTGATATTTCATTACTTTTTTTTGACAAAAATGTCACTTTACTGTTTAGACTACGCGTCTTTTCAAACTCAAAGTTTGACGCCACCTACTGACTAATAGGATAACTATTTAGTACTGGATATATCTAAATAAGATATTATTACAGTGCTATATTATAACACTAGATGTTTCTACTAATCACCAATTTATTTTCTTTAAGATAATCCAGTTTTAATATTTATATTGAATAATAATCGTATTACTAGTCTAGATTATTAAAAAAAATATTTGAGGAAAGGTCAATTTTTATTTATTTTTTATGAAACTAAGACACTTATTTTTATTCAAAATCGTTTAAAATTCTAAAAATAGAATTAATTTATAATAGTATTCTCTTTCTGTAACATAATTGTTTTATCTTAATTTTCACAAAAATGAACAAGTATTGAGTTTGAAATCTCAATTTTATTTCTCTAGCACTAAGAGCCAGTTTGATATAGTTCAACAGAATAATAAATTATACGTTCTTCCAAGACAGAAATGACTTAAGTGCTAACATATTGTGCTAGCAATTTTGTACTTTATTTGAATAGTAATAAAGTCGTAATTAGGTTGGGGCGGCATCACATGTTATTGTTTGTCGGTGTTTAGCGTGTGATATGTCGAAATGTAAACGGTGTGTCCGCAGATCAATATGCGTCGGGGTGTTAGAGTGTCGCTATTGGCCGCAGTGTGTGGGGCGTGGCGTGTGTGTGAGGCGCGGTCTGCTCTGACGAACGGATTTTGGCGCCAAATCGCGCGTTCCATTTTCAAATCACGATGCCGCGTTTAGTATTTTAATTTTCTTAATGTTGGTACCTACTGGCCGGTTTCTTTTATTTCGTTTATAGCTGGCAGGCATTGTTGTTATTTTTTTTTAATCCATTTCCTTTTTTCTGCAATATATTTAACACTACCACTACCATTGAACACTACCATTTTCTTTTAGATTTATTTCAGTTTATTAGGTATACAATACGTATATGTTGGTACTTAAATTATTTTGTAATATGTATAGTATTAACATAGAGGTATTTTCTTGATTCTCAAGTAGGTATGTAGATATAAGATGCCTTCCTAATAGGTAGATACGATTACTACCTAGTTATCACCCAGGTAGCTCACTATTGTATACTACGTATTCTTATTTCTTATCCCTTTTAACAGTAAGCTATCTAAATACCTACATTTTAGTTATACTCTAGGAATATTTATGTGCTAAATAATTTTTATTGTATCTTATTCTAGTCATCTAATATCTATTTATTCATAAATAAGTAGGGGAGAGTCGGATATATCGTACCACTTTTCACTTTAACTCAAATATTTCGACTATAACACGTCTTATAATAATTAATACATATGTAAAATAAAGTTTCATATTTTAGTTTCCTAAGAAGAAGAGAACAGATCCTTGCGATTATTCTAACATTGTTAAAAATGATTTTTTATAGAGGCTTGCCATCGGTACGATTTAGCCGACTCGTCGTTTTAATCGTACCGCTAAGTCTTTAAATCGTACCATGGCTGTTTAAGTCGTACCACTGAATGAAAGACATTAAATTTCTCAATCAAATTATTTATTTTTAACTGTTAGGTAAGTAATAAAACAACATTATTAATATCTTTTAGGTAATAGAAACTTAATTTTTAACTCTTAGGTTATATAAAGGAACTAGGTATAAGCTTTCTCAGTAAAATAACATGATTATACTCTGATAATGAGATCAATCAACATAACTAATAAAAATGAGACAAAAAAAAAAAACAGTAAACTATAATAATAAAGTAATAGTTAACAAGAATGTTATTTGTAATATAATTATTGTGCATATTTCTTAATGGAAACAACCATGACAAATGTCTGGATTCGAAGTTCATGTCTCATGTAGCCACCGTTTACAGCGAACGCATTGAATCCAATCAACTTTTGGACCCTTCTTATCGTAGTTAGAACAATTGCACTTTCGACATATACATATTTTCAAGATAATCATCGCTGTCATCATCATCATCTAGTTCTACAACAAGTGTCTCTCCTGAATCATCGCTACTGGTGATGGAATGAGATCGTTTCCTCTTATAACTTTTGTTTTTGGCCTTGGGTAGTACTTACTATATGTACTTGCGGTAGTACTATAGATACTTACGGTAGTACTATAGGTACTTGCGGTAGTACTATAGGTACTTGCAGTTGGTAGTCGGGTAAATCGTACTAGTACAATTTAACCAACTGCAAGTGGTACGATTAAACCAACTAAGGCATTTCTAAAACAAAAGCAAATATCCGGCATAAACTCAAAACTTAGACACGCAACAAAAACCCCCAATAATCTAGTATACGATTGTGGAATAATAAAAAAAACTGAATAACTATGGCTTACCTTGATTACGAGTTATCTCCTTACGAATATACGACAATATTTATATTAATTCCTACAAAAAATGATTTTTTTTATTACGTGCACAGTTGTTAACTCACGTCGATTTAAACTAGTGAGTGAAGAGGGATGGTACAGGGCCACGATTTGGCGTTGTCAGTGTAGAAAAAAATATTCATTAAATGGGAAATTTAGCGGTGGTACGATTTAAATGCTAGTACGATATAACCAACTCTCCCCTAATATAGGTAGGTAGATATTTTGTTCAAAGAAATTATTCTCGAATTCTGTGGGGATGTGAAAGAAAAAACATTTATTTAATTATTTATTATATTTTTATTTATATACAAATAGGTAAATAGCTATTCTGTCTAAAATTATAAATTGGTTATAAATAGTACCTATAGCTTACTTAATTTAGTTTACTTAATTATATCTACAATCTACATTTACAGCTACACACAAACATAATATGAAAAATAAGACATTTAAATAATATCTTTTAAATTTTTAAATATGTAGGTCATATCATGTACATATACTTTTTACATATACCTACATACTACATAGGGTACCTAAGAATATATTATACCTACTCATATTTGATGCCACCTAAATAATTTCTATAAGAATTTACTTCATAAGAAATTGCATTGAACTTACAAACTAGTAAGTAGGTTCTTACATGATAAAATATAGGTAGGTACCTACTATTCTAGCTGTCTAATAATAAAAAATTAATCCATATAAGATAAACAAGTATTAATGATTACCAAGATTTAGATACATTAACATTAAAAATATGTTAAAAAATATAAAATTTATTAAACTATAAACAAAAAACTTGTCCCAAAACGTGATAAACACGCAACACGCATCGCGAATTAAAAAATAGTGTTATTATTTATTAACAATATAAAACATCCAGTTTTTAACAATGGCGGACAAATTCGCAATAGGTACCTACGTTCAGAAATCAAACTGGTTGTGGTACACGCGCCTTTAATATGTTTTGGAGGGAAATATATTTATCGGACATTGTCCGCCATGTTAGCGGATCAGTGAATTAGCTAATAATTATCATATAAATGTTGTTTGAATTGATTTATTGATGGTTGTTTGGTTTTTTATTTGATTTATTTATTTCTGTGGTTGTTTTTTTTTTGGAAATTTATCTAATTACCTACAATTTTTCATTTCAGGTAAATTATGTCGACACGTTGGTTATCTACGGCTGGTAGGTAAGTTTGTTTATAATAAATTCATTACATACATAGGTACTTGATTGAATGTCACCAACAAGTATGTATATTAAATATTAATTTAGTACCTATAGAATTTATTAAAAAAACATACAAAGATTACTGTGTACCTACCTACGTACTGATAAAAAAGTTTAAAATAATTATAAAAATATAGATCTAGTAAAACGTTTATTTTGTATACCTACCTATATGCTAAAATTAAGTATAATGAAATAAAAATTTCATATAATTTTTTTTCGGAAAATTCATATTTTTAACGAATCATAACAAAGTAATT